CAGCCTGATTTTGTATGATGACTAAACTAAAATATATTCATTCAAACCAGAAATTTAAAAGCCCAACAAAATATAATCTACTACTTAGAGAAGAATGAACACAAACAAAAAACCTTGTAGCCAGCGAACTGACCAGCATACACACACATAATCTTTGAAAACATACTGGGCAAATGATTAACATTATGTTTTCTATTATTCCTTTCATCTTCTTCAATTCTGTTAATACTGCAGATTAAATTATATCAACGTTTCAAACAGGAAAAAAGAACCAAACTAGATTTCATTGTTGCTGCATGTTAAAATTGAAGTATTTGTTGTAAAGACTCAGAAGTTTAAATTTTCATTTTAATTTCAATGTCAAGTTATTTATTAACAATAAATCTAATTAACTTAATAATACTGCCTTCTAACACGAGCAGTCACACCTTAGATCAAAATAAAGGGGAAAATGTATAATTATATTATGCATAAGTTTGCTGACATTCAGAACTTTCATATTGAAAATAGCTTGTATGTTGAAAAACTAAACAATAAAAGTTTTAACACATAGGCTAAATTAAAATTTGCCCCATGCAAACAATTTGCCCTTCCTTTTATTTGAAACTGTAACAAAAAACATATGTATAAGTAAATATCTGACAATTACAGGAAAACTGTCTAAGTGAGCAAGGCATAGGCTTTTTCCACACTGATAGAAACATGGTATAAAACTTTAATATTGCATATTTTTCAAAGCTTGCTCAAAAGGCAGGCTTCTTAATTGTAGTCTAATTTCTTCAGTACTGTTCATTTATTATAGTTCTTCTCATTCTTCTATTTTCCCTTCTATTTCTCCATGAATTATATGAGGCAAAGAAGTACTGTCCTCAGTCCTGAAGAGACAGGTGACTGCAGTTACCAGTGACAGATTGTCAACGTTTGCAGATAAGATTTTTTTTGAATGCTCTATACACTACAAGACTTTAGGTAGTCAAATTAAACATGAATGTTCAAACTGACACGAGTCAAAGAATGCATTTTAAAGACAAAAATGCTTAAGTGAGTTATTAACATTATATAGAAAACCCTGCGGAGGCAGGGACAGAATCCTCCTTCGAGATTATGTTTCACTCACTTTTCAAAATGCGTAGCTGAGGACAGATTTTTGCCTGTCACAGCTCCACTTAACACAAAACCCAGTTTTATCTCCAAACCTGCCTCCATTTCATGAAGCACACCAAGTGCACCCACGTGGGAAAAAAAATACTATTTAAAGATTGTATTATACTTAACTATCTTTACATCATTTCTTCTCTACATAATTTTAATGGTATTGAAAAGAAAGCAACCAAAAACTAGAAAATTCTATTGCATCTGTCTATATGGCTCCAAAGAACTGGCAACACATACATGTACCTTCTGTAGAGTAGATTTATACAGATATGAGTATTTTGGCTGATGTTGTAGACCTTGACTCATGCAGCCTTGTTTCTAAAAAAGAAAAAGCCTTGATGGCACTGGCAAGGCAAAACATTTAGGCCATTATTATGCTTCTCACCAGTACTGCCCATATCAAGCATGTAGCATTGCCTGGAGTGTTACTGTAAGTATATAGTAATATACACATAGCTTCTGCCAGCTGCGCAAAGAAAGAGATCAGTAACATTAACAGGCTGTCATGCCTAGAAGACAAAAGAGCAAGGTTGAGAGGATTTTTTCCATCACTCTGCAGCTTTTGGTAAGCTCACTGATCTAGTGAACATCAGACCTCTCTGTCCTTTTATCTGCACTTCAAGTCTGTCTCTTGTTTGTATAATCCCTTTCAATATACTTCTGTGCTAATTCCATTTCTAAATTCTACCCTAATTTATGTTTCTACTTTGCTCATCCAGTCCTGGTTTCCCACTTTGGACCACGTTTGATCCTTGGTTTTCATCACAAACTTTTCGTTCCAGTCTACTTCATCCCTCACGGTTACCTTATTTTTTACCTTATCGGTATTCTCCCCGTGAACAACTTCATCTATTCAAAAAGCATTATATGTCCAGAAGTCCCTATGCAGCGCTCTCCACATTTTATTCAGGCTTCCAGCCTTCTCCATTCTTCTGGATGACAGCAGAGGCAGCGCATCAAGAAAGGAACACTTGCCAAGGCTTGACTGGTACAACTGTTCACAAGAATCATGGTCTTGAAGCTCTGGACACTGAAATTACATGGACTACCAACACAGGAAACTCATCATCAGGAAATTCTCAGTGCTATTCCTAATCAATTTCCAAGTATTTTCATACTCCCATTTTTCTAAAATGTCCTTTGCAAAAGATGTTTCTGTGGCATCAACATGACCCGACTCTGGTCAAATTTTCAATTGCCAGATGGAGTGCTTGGAAGTTTTGGACTCAATCAGGAGAATTATTTGCCTTTTACCTTAACTTTTAAAAAAAGGGTAAATTGATGTCTTTGCCCTTTTCTTTCCTTTCAAAAAAAAGAATAAAAGATAACCGTTCTTGTCAAAATTTTCCTTTTTACTATCACCAGTAGTGTTCGAAAGCTAATGAAGAAACACTATATAAAAAACCCTTAAAGTCTAACTATTATGTCTTGGCGATCAGGCATAGTTGTATCCACTAAAGAAGATCAAGTAACTTTAATTATGCAACACTACACATCCCTGATGGTACCACTCTCGCTGATAGTACTGGTACCACTCAAGAACACAACCGAGGCCTAAATGTTTTGCTTTGCCAATGCCTCCAAGGCTTTTTCTTTTTTAAAATCAAGGTTACAGAAATCAAGATTTAAAAGAGGCAAACGACTCGCATCAAATCCTTAAATTTTGCAGTCATAAAGATTACTGAGGAAAAGATAATAATTTCTACTATATAGACATTTTTCCCCTCAACAAATCAATTCAATCTTCAGCAAATCCTTGAGGGAACTGTGTGTTTGACTCCCAGTGTGACCCACTCCCAACCACCTGTATGCTAGTCTAGTTTCATAAAGTAAATACTTCTTACACTGTACTTGGAGACGAACTGCAGAGCTTTGCTTTGTGTTTTTCTAAGAGGAAAATGAAAAAATAGTATGTCTACTGCAGGATTAACGGCAACTTTTATATTACGTAAGGATATGTTTTCCCAACTATCATCTTGTGCAATTTAACATTGTTTGTAAATACTTATTTATTGTTAAAAAACCAACAACAACCAAACAAAAATCCCCAGTATATGCTTGCTGGATGATTATTTTATTTATTGAATACTGGGAAAAGTCAGATTCTCACATGCCTCATGGTTTAGTTTTAGATGGTTTAGTTGTTTTTTTTTCCCCCCCAGTCCTTTTCAATAATGAAGTTCATCTACCTCTTCTGAAGAGGGAGGCTTTCCCAGTCACTTAATTTTATCTTCAGAGCACCAAATATTTTCAGGGTCAATCAGTCATTGCTATAAGCACATAAACTGAAGATACTCAAAGTTACTCTTATATCAATAGTCAACAGAGTCCACTTGTCAGAATTTAACCATTATAAAGATAAAACATCAAAGTGGAGAAGGACGGAAGAAGTGACTATATGTTCTTTCTTAACACGTATAGCTTAGAGATTAACACAAAAAACCCAAACAAGTTATTTTCTACTTCAAATTGACACCTCTCGGTCAACACTATGTTACGCAACTCTGAAGAGGAGTCTCTAATATTCTCCATCTTCACTCTGATTTTTATCTAAAAGCTGTGGAGAAAATACATAAATCAAACAATTTGGACAACAGACTAAAGTACACCTCTAGCAGAAACAATATTCACTTTAAACAAAAATACTACAGAATAATTCTAAAGGGAATGAGTCTAGTAAGTAGATCCCAATGTACTAGATCAAAAAGTGAGCATATAAAAAGATGACACAACTTTGTGTTAGCTGCTGGGAATGCTAAGCAAAAATCACACTTCAAACATGATGAGAAGTTACGTATTATTCAGATATAAATTTGAAGGTGCAAAATTAAAATCTAAGTTATTTCCACTATAAACTGTAATAAAACCCATTCTGAGCCTAAAAGTAGCAACAACAGATAGAAGAAACACTTTTCTCCAGAATAACAAACCATAAGATCTTTTCTTTTTTTAAGGATCAGTGAGCAGGCACTGTAGCTCGTGACTCACCGATTACAAGCGTGCTTCTTGTAGTTACCTCCCTATCAAATTTTGAAGCACCCTAACATTTCTGCCCAACTTGCCACGTACAACTCTATGAAACCATCAAAACAAGAAAGTACAAATTGTTGTGTCAATCGTTGATTTACCAAAAATTAATACATCATCATTTTCAAAATGTCATGTACTATGTTACTGCAACTAATTTCTACTTGGTATTAACCCGGCCTGTGTGTAGTAAGTCATTTAGATCTATTAGATATGACAAATCAGATATTCAAAGGACCTAAATGTTAAGATGTAGGCAGTATTCACTGCTTAAAAAAAAAAAAAAAGACTCACTTATACTACACTTCCTTAAAACAGGCTCTTAGTGCACCTAAATAATGACTAATATAATTCTAAATACTTTATATGTGCCCTTCTTCAATGGTTTAACATTCTTTGCTGAACTACTGTTATAGTATGCATTTTCTCATAATTTTATCTTTACAGAACTGTAATTACATCTATTACAGAAGTAGCCAGATTCTCTGGAAAAAATCCCAAACAATCTCAATGAATTTCATAAGAAAATAGCAAAGATGTCTTTCATAATTCTTTCTATTATATATAAGCAATGAAGCAAAATAATCACAAAAAACAAGTATTAAAGAGATTATCAATGATAAAAGCTTCTTTAATCATTTGGGGGTATTCGAAAAATGATTTAGGAATTAAATAAGGTCTGTGAGAAAGACTTTATAATAAGAACTTGTCAAAAGTTAAAAACATAGACTAGAAAAAAGTTTTTAATTGTACAGTATATTTTAGCTCCTATCAATCACTGCTAAAATAATTTCAGAGTTTAATAAGCAGATATTTACCTGCTGGAACAAGACAATCCTTCCAATCAAAATATCCTGCATAAATGCCAGGTTCTAACGACCCAACTATTGGATCTGCTTTGAATTCGATGTACATTTCAAACAGTCTTTGATCGAGCTCTTTCAAGGAGTCCATACTAACCTAAAAAACAAAACCAGAGAAACTCACAAAACCAACTTAATAAACAGTCATTAACTCCAAGAATTAAATCACATACTCCAAAAATTTACCTCATGTCTTCTTTAATCTTCAGGAGAGAGTAGCAATTACTTATACGTTTCAGTTCATAATTACATACATAAAACCCCAAGAACTTCCTAGGTCCGTCCTGCCCAGTATATTTTTTTCTCACTGTGCTCAGCCGTAAACATTTTTGGAAAAAGCCCAAGGAAGGCCAAAGCAGGCAGATCACTCTGTAATAGTCTAATGGTGTGATTTTTTTTTTTTCTTCATGCCAGCAGGTCTTCATCTTTTCCCAAGTAAACAACTGAATTTCGTTAATGCTTTAAAATATGCCCTTAATAATTTCCATCCTGAAACATGAAGATTTTCATATAATAGTCGCAATCAACCAACTGTAATTTGAAAATTTTTCACTGTCTGCTCTATATTTGAAAAATACATAGATTTATTTAGGAGTCTCTGCCTTCTGAAACCGTTTGCGTGAATTACCCTGTTCTGCTTCAAGGCATCTCTGTACGACAGATACATAACTTGCAGCTCACTTGCATCTGCAGAATTTTTCTCTTTAGCAGCTCTCTGTGCAATTTTTTATTAACTCACACAGCTCAGCCACACTGAAAGCTAAAGGGATATGTGCAGTTTGTTCATTCTATCGGAACAACTTTAAATTTTATAGAAGCCTTTTTACCAAACATAGGTATCCCCTGTAACTAGAGCTTCTAAAATAATTCTGGAACACAATGCATATCATAAAATGTTAAAGTAGAAAGTCAGTATCCTAGAATGGTAATGGATATTAAATGCAAATAAAATATGCTGAAAATATCACATGACTTCTACCTAAATTTATTTATGTTTGTAAGTAACAGCTTAAGTAACAATAAAGCTTTTAAACTAGTACTCATTTTCCTCAATCATTAGGGAAATTATCATATTATCATATGATATGATTTGATAATTATCAAATTATCATATATATGATAATTTCCAGAAGCAAACAGATTTAAAAGTGAGGAAGAAGGCAGGTCTCTAGAAAAACTGTGAATTCAGAAGAACAGTTAAAGAAATAAAGAGTACCCATTCCTTACTATTCCTTTGTATAGATTTAATGCTGCAAAGCTGCAGAATAAGCGATGAAGCTTAATCGCTGCAGGGATGTCTCTGAGCTATGTTTGCCCCTGGCATGTCTATGTATTGTTAAGGGAGGAAAAAAAGGGAACTGCAATGTTTCAGGTCAAAAACAGGCAGACAGACAGAAAACCCTTCAGGAATCCTTCAGGTGCAAGGGGAAATAGAGGAACTCTTGAGGACGAAGTTGCTGCCAGATTCGTTCAAGTTGGGATGGTGAAATTTGTGCTCAGAAACAAGAGACACCAACACCTTCCCGCTTCTTTATCTGATGAGCCTCCTTCAATTTGTCACAAGGGGATCTAGATCCTACATATAAGACTTTGATCAGGCACAGAGAATTTGGTCCCAGAAATAGATCAAGGTTATCTGCTTCCTTCCCTTCTACCTGACAGCCTGTTGACACTCAAGACAGAAATCTTACCCTTTTTCCCCTTACACAGCATCACAGAAATATAAACCTGGAATGGGTTTCAAGACATTTTTCACTTCAAATTCTTATGATTAAGAAGAATAACTACGCTTAGACCACTCCTATTTAGGTTTGAGCTAGTGGCGAAAAAAAAAAAAATCAATGTACAAGTTCCAGTGGGAAGTCCCCGCAAACACGCAGCAGTTCAAATAATCTGAAAACCTTGCTTCACTAGTCCTTAACAAAGGACTTGTGTTCAATACAAAACTCATATTTTTCAGTACTGACAGTTCAGTACGAGAGTCCGCTTCAACCTGTTTAGAGTTAAAAGCAGGATTAAGGTAGCGGTGGGTAACCCTGTTTTTCAGGTGGTGCAAAGATGACAAGAAAGAATGAATAATTCATCTGATTGTTATTCTGAGCCCAGGATGGAGTAGAAGAATGTCCATCACGTATACCCATATTCCTGACTGAAGTGAGATAAATGTTCATAAATACAGAAAATTCTTTTTCTGCTGTGATCGGCCCTGTAACTAGTTTTCAATTTTCGTATTAAAGCCATTTTGAGGGGCTGTCCTAGTAATTCCACTGCCTTATCCAAGTATCAGAATCATCAAAATTTTATTCCAAAGCTTAATTAATAAGCCAGGATGAATGATATGGGATATATCATTATATTTTCCACTTGCTAATTGACTACACTGATAAAAAGTTGAACCAAAGAATCTCCACAGAAAAGCACTTAAGAGTTATGTAGAAATGAAATGTAATTACTGGTGAGTACCATAAATATGCACTAAGGTGGCATGTAACTTTGTATTTGGCCTAAGAAATAAAAAAGTAACAACCATGTAGTGTGTAAGGAAATTTTCTTCATTACCATTATTTCAGTATTTTCAGAATAATAGAGAATATGATTTCCCTTCTAACAAAGGCAACTTAAAAAACCCAACTCAACCGAACAATAGCATTTTTGCCAACAAAATCCACTTTAAAATTCAATTTATAAAGCTAATGAATTTAAAAGTATAGTTTTGTTTCAGTCTTCCCAGATAAAAATAAACTATTTTTCAGAATTTTTCTTAACTCTTTATTATCCCCACCCATAACAGGGAGGTTGGACTAGATGATCTCTAAGGTCCCTTCCAGCCTAGGCCATTCTATGATTCTATGATTCTATGATTGTAAATTTATCTAATAAATAGTTAAATAAACTGAGAAACTTACAGAAGTTTTGGTGACAAACAAAAATTGAAACAATCAACCAGCCCTTCTAAACCTCTGCAAATTTTTAGCCTCTCTAATGAAAGGTTCAAAAATTGCCCCCTTAAGACGCCTTATCTTCCAAGTCCTCCCAGGTAGCATTACCTATTGATGTGCCCCATACTGTACCAGTCACGCTTTCAGAGGGTTAACACAAACGTGAAATTAACTCCAATTTCAACATTCAATTTTTGTCATTTATAAACCTGGGGGGCTTTTAATGGCAGTATTTTGATGTGGCTGTACAAGACAGTGTTGAATACACACATAATTGATGACTTACTTGCTTATATACACAATACTAGCTGCAGCCAGCTCAACTCTCAGTTGTCTCAGTAGCAAAGCATGGCAATATCCTGAGAAATTCTGTATATTCTACTAAGCAATCAACTCATATCAACCCCATTTAAACGCTACTCAAAACTAATCCAGCCACAGAAACTGAATTCAGGCAGATTAGGACTAAGGATGTACTATATTGCAGAAGCACTGCGTGTGAAACACTGTGCTCTGTACTGGAAAAGGTAACATTTTACTTCCAACCAACAAATGTTTCTGGAAATAAACTAGCTTTGTGGTCCTAAGGATTAGGTCACAACATTTCTCATAAGAAGTGATTAATCTTTACACAAAAAGGCAGGAAAATGAGACAGCCACTGCCACCCACTTTGACATTTTCATTCTTTGAAAAAAAAAAACCCAAAACAACAAAACACCAAAACACAACAACAATAAAAATGAACTAGTTTATGAAAAACAGCTATTAGTACTGCAGATTGCTAGATGAAATTATTTATCAAGTATATTTCCAAGATAACAATCTTTTATTCTCTGCATTAAGAAAACACAGTGATATTAAACAGCTTTACTAAGAAATCTGATAAGCTTTGCCATTGAACACACAAGTCCTGAAGAAGAGCTCACATTTTCTAAACCAGCTACTTAGGCCTTAGAGGAACACACACAACTGTCACATCGTGGTTGTGACCAGCTGGTGCCTGGTGTCCCACTCATTTGCAGAAGGCTCACCCAACAGTCCTTCCAGCCGTTTGAACATTTGCACCGAATTTCCACACAAAGTAAAACAAATAAAACCTGGTGCCTTCAAGCAATGATACTTCATTCCAGTGCTCTCACTTACCTGAGTTATTTTTTCAACACCTTGAAAGCCATGTTTCTCAAAATGCTCAGCTATATTTAGGAAGGTGTGTCGTTCCAGATAACGGCAGTTACTGAGTGCAATTAAAAGCCTCTGTTCCTAAATTTGTTTTAATAAAAGAAAGAGTATAATAGTTAGAAAAAAGAAATGCCAGCATGACCAATACTGTAACTGTATAGTATTTATATGTGTGCTAAACAAGCTGATAAATCAAGTGGAGTTTACAAATATTTTTGTCAATAAGCCACCGAAAACTGAGTATCAGGTATGATGTTTGAACACGTATGCTTTTTCTTATAGGATCTGCAGCATTCAGTGGAATAGCTGTGACTAATACAGAACTGTGGTTAAGACTTCTTTACAAAAACTAGGTTTGGACAGCTTTCCAGGAAGCTGTTTCTGGCTTTTACTTTGTTTCAAGAAATATGCTACCAATTATAACCATCATAAAAGTAACTGAAGATCATCTTCACTTCCACATGAAGGCGGCCAAAACAAGGGAAGCAAAACAGGTCCTGAACGAACGTGCTCACCCATTCTAAATTACTAGAAGGTTCAGAAGTACATAATGTAATTTCAGCAGTTTATTTGAAAAGATTCTAGGTGGTTATAACTTCTCTTTATTCTTCAGTGACTGTTTTAATTACAAGAGGGTCAAATACATTCGGAGTTGAGACATCAAAATTGCCTTTCCCTGATGTTGGTGCAACAAGATGTAGTTTCCACTAAGAAGTAAACAAGACAGAACTACTATTTGAATATATTTGGTCTTCCCTCTTCCCCTCTCCTTCTCCCAATGGCAAGTAAATTTTTTTTTAATCTCAGATTAAAGATAAAAAATCAATACCTCCAATGTTTTTAAACGAAAACTATTTGGCAATAAAGTTATGATAATAGTGCAGACCTAATTAAAAATGGCCTTGGTTTTCAGACCAAAAGAACTCCTGACAGTTTTGTATTTCATAAATACGACTGAGATGTGCCATTGCCTGCAACTTTAAATTATAATCAATTTGTGTACAGACTACTCAAAAAAAGAGAGTTTTAAAAATGCAGTGTCAGATCTTATTCTGGCCACTCACTGTTCTTATAATTCAATCAGGAAAGAGACTGTGATTCAGAGATAAAAATTTGTATGGTACCATGGAAACCAAACATTGCCTTACAATTGTTGATTTGGGTTTTATTTAAATGTTCATAACTATAACATATAAGAGGAAGTCACAGTGACAAAAAAAAGTTTCTTTGTCGACAAATTAATATCAAAATCTATGTTTTTCAAGACTAAAATGATACAGAGAACTAACTACTATAGCCTGCAATTCAGAAACTTGGCCTGATTTAGCAATCTGCGATTCTTTATTGTAGCAGAAACGCTTATACTCTTGTAAATGCGGCAAAGCTGGGCTTCTGACAACATTAAAAACCTGAATATTAAATTCAACAAGAGGTTCTCATTAGGTTTCTTGCAGGGAATAATTTTATTTTTTCATCAGTCACTGGACTGGAAGAAAGTACATTAAAGTCAAAGTGTCAAGAATATTGAAAACCTTTTTTCCAATTTCAGTGATGCCACTTTTGGTTTCTCAAGAGGACCTGGTTTCAAGACGTGTCTTCATTACTTACCTTAAAATGGTATACCAAGATATCATAAACAAACAGCTTAATAAAAAGGGCCAAATTCCTGTAACTTTGAGAAATAATAAGTTTCACATCGGCTTTTAGAAACGGAGGCTAAACTTACCGAAGACAGACTTGCTTCTTCATGAATGCTTCCAAACAAATCTGGAGATGAAACATCAACTGAAAGACTATAAATATTGATTAAAAAGTGAGTAGTATCATGCTTTTGATTATCTGATACATTGTGGATTTAAATGAATAGTTGAAACAGAACATTGGAAACTTGTTTTAAGCCCCCCTCAGGCCAGCTAATAAAGCAGTTCACGTTGCTCAGTTTTTCCTAAGGTGTCTATAAAGCCTTTAGGAGCTTTGTGGACAGACAATACTATTCTAGCTACAGATATTTCCTACTTAAAGCATTTTAATTTCCTATAATTCCTCTGGTTTGCCACAGATTCCATTTAATTTTTACACCTATCCAGCCAACAGAGTAATCCAAATAGCAAAAGAGTGGCATTAGAAACAGAGTTAATTTGCTTTTTTCTAAGGCATACTGCAGGCACCAATATTTGCCAAGTCTCTGGCTTTTCACAGAGAGATGACAGGTACTCTTGGAAATTCAGGCTAATTCTGCCTTGTTTTGGTCTCTAATACAGGTGGCTCATCAGCAATTATCAAAGAAACAAGTTTTCAAGAATTTCACAGAAATACCAGTAGAACCAGCCAAAATAGAAGGGAAGACAAGAAAGGCAGGGGCTGTCTCTCCATGACTGGGCGCTACTTAGTGACAAGGACAACTCAATTCCATGGAAGGTGATGTCAAAACCGACACACCTGCTTCTACGGCACACAGCTCCTGGCACTGAACAAAATGGGGTAAGTAATATCATCTTCATTATCTTGTACAATATTTATTACATGATGCCACTCAATTATTTGGCATGAAAAGTGTAATTTCAAAGCACCACTAACCAAATGCAAAAGTATTCACAAGAAACATGAAATACCAGAGGGGATAAAACCACACCACCACAGAAATTCGACACTTGCACCCACAATTTCAGAATACTACAGCTAAGCCACTTTTATTTTACTTACTGTGCTGTATCTATGTCACCATCAGGTTTGGTGCTCAGTTGTTCCAAACAGTCTATAAAGACCTAGGAAACAATAAAGCAAGATTTACATCTTCTGTCAGAACAACAAGAAAAATATCTTAAGATCACTTTCACTACAGTCGACAGAAGCAGAACAATCACCACCTTTGTTTTAAACCTGACATAAATACAGTAATATTCTAGTTACACCTTTTGAGTGCATATTTTCAATTTTGTAAGTGTTCAGTGTGAACAGCTGATCCCAAGTGAACACTACAGAATTACTAAAACCCATTTTTTGCTTTGGCTCATGATTTCTTACTTGAGAAGAACACAAAATGGTTCAAAAGCCTAAAGAGTGCTATTACCTAATTTATAATATATTTTTTAAAAAATACCAGACATTTGTTACTAAGAATATTAGTTTCTGATACAAAAATCAAAAGCTAGATCCTCAGCTCATGAAAATTAGCATTGCTCCTTTTACTGCAGTATATTGACATGAGACGACATCAGCTCAGCAAGTGTCTCAATCATCAGTAAAACCTTAACTGCCACAATAAATAAAATACTTAAATGTGCTACCCTCTGAGGAATTGATATAATCAGATTAAAAGGATGTAGAGCTTACTACCTGAAAATCAACCATTTCTCAGTATCCCAGAGTGTATCAGAAGAATAACAGAGTCATCAATTTAGGGTACCTTTTGGGAGGTGGGCAGGGTACAAAGCACATGGTTTTGTGGATCGCTTGTGTTCACAATTTCATGCTTAAAAGTGCTCAAGTTACCTGCATGATCCCAATGCTTAGCTGGCACACATCCTCCTGTGTTTTCTGGTGCTGGAAAACCTGAAGATGCAAGCATATTGTTTCAACAGAATAACTTCATGTGGCCTTATTCTCAAGGAAGGCCTGAGTAACCGATCCCTAAAGAGATGACACAATTACAGGAATGGCTGCTGGGACACAGTGTTCTCTCATGGATCAATTTCAATTTTTCCCCACACTAAAAATGGTGAGAGAGAATAGAACTCCCAAAGAAACAGTTTGACAGGCATGAGGAGATTACACATTAAAAGGAAACCAGTCTATCATGTGTACCTAGTACATGATAGGTATCATTGCTGGCTAATGGAATTGCAGCAAAAGCTCCCACTGTATTCGAAGATCTTTGCACCTTCACCACGCGCTGCAGATTCTTTTGAATGTTTGTTAAGAAACTAGACAAGTTAGCCATCAAAATGAAAATAAGGGAGGAGAGAGAAACAATACCCATAAAAGGGGCCCGAGGGAATCTGGAAAAGCGTTAAACCTCCTTAGATCTGTGAAATCCGAAAGAAAAGATCACAATCTATTAGAGCCTTAAGGTACTAAGTTGGTGGAGACAGTCAGAACTCCTGATTTAGAATAAAGTTGACGAGAGTAAAAAGCTGAATTCAAGTTCTGCTAGTAGTTTGGATGCAACCCTGAGTGAAGAGTAATTCCTAGGAATGTCTCCTGTCTTCGTCTTTCTTTCCCGCACATGAACTTACATGTACTGTATCTGGAAATAACATTAGCAGCATTTTTTCAAAAGAAGAGCTTTAAAAATTTAAATATAGGTCCAATCTGCCTATTATCCCTAATAAAGGAAGCACAAACAGAACTCTAAAAGCTAGCAGCAGTGAAAAGGGTGTATATGGAAAAAAACAAAGAGAAAGGTAATACCCCTGTATCACTATCTGAAAGTTCTTGTCCTGAAACCCAATAGTAATTCACATAAAACCAGCAAAAATAAAAGAATAAATCAAAACTTACACTGGCCTCTCCAGGTTTGCAGTCCAGCACAGTTTTAAGAGATTGCAAGGAATGAATAATGCACTGTTCAAACTGGGATGGCTGAAAGACAAATAACTCATTAGCTTTAGATAAGGCTGTCAAATGTTTACTACACAAATATATAAAAACTTCCATGCCATATGACAAGCTCTTTATGTCCAAAATATCCTAAGTAAAGAAAAAAACTCAAACAACCATGATTCCTATATTACCAGAGGATTCTTTTGTACTTAAGCTATCTACAGAATTATTACCATAGATCAATGCACATTTTTCTATCTGAATGAAAGACTTCTACACCAAACAGCCTCCTCTAAAATGGTAATGAAATATTTTTATAGCTTGCTTGTCGTGGCACATAAAATCATAGAACGGTTTGAGTTGGAAGGGACCTTAAAGTTCAGTTAGTTCCAAGCCCCTGCCATGGGCAAGGACACCTCCCACTAGACCAGGTTGGTCAAAGTCCCGTCCAGCCTGGCCTTGACACTTCCAGGGAGGGGACATCCACAAGTTCTCTGGGCAACCTGTGCCAAGGTCTCACCAACCTCATAGTAAAGAACTTCCTAACACCTCACCTAAATCTACCCCACTCCAGTTTAAAACTATTGCCTCTTGTCCTGTTGCTACACGTCCCTTCTCAGCTTTCCTGCATCCCCTTCAGGTACTGGGAGGCCGCTGTAAGGTCTCCCCAAGGCCTTCTCTTCTCCAGGCTGAACAACCCCAACTCGCTCAGCCTGGCCTTGCAGGAGAGGGGCTCCAGTCCTCTGATCATTTTTGTGGGCCTCCTCTAGATCTGTTCCAACAGGTCCAATTGACAATTATCTTAAAGATGCCTGTGACACCTCCCTCCTCGATCTAAGATGGGACAGAATTTCACCTGGGATATGTGACATTTCTGCATTTAATTTCAGCAAAGGGTTTCTAAGAAAAACAGATTGAAATTCCTTGCACATGGAGGAAAAAAAAAAGCCACACTGGTCTGGGAGGCTTTTTTTCCTTCAGGTTTCCAGTACCAATGCCATGATGCATATATCAATTTCACCTGAAGTGCAAACGAGTTCACAGCATCAGTCATTAGTCAGTTTTTCCTCGTCTTTCTCTCTTCCCTGCCAAGTCACACCTATTTTTTTCTTTTTTTTTTTTTTTTTTTTTTAAGTTGAGGCTGCCTGCTTTTACTAGACAGGAAGCAACATGAAGCAGAGAAGTCTCACTGCTTTAGAAAAGAGGGATGTCATTCTATTGGATTTGTGTCAAAGGGGTGGACAAAAAAGTGCTTCTAAGCCATGTAAACCTGCTTTTCGTCCAGCACACAGTTTATGGCACATCACCAACTTGATGCTTAGGAGTAACTTTTATTACTGTAAATGCTGGGGGAGGAGGTGGATCATAGAATTATAGAATAATTTTGGTTGGAAAAGACCTTTAAGATCCTTTTAAGAGTCCAACAATTAACCTAGCAATGACAGGTCCACCATTAATCCATGTCACTGAGCATCTCCAGGGATGGTGACTCCACCGATGCCCTGGGCAGCCTTTCAGTGAAAGTGATGCCTGCATGACAATCTCAAAATCATGAAAAAAGCCACTATGACAATCTATGTTTATTATTTTTGGACCTACTTAAAAGAAAAAGAGCAGCAGTAAAGTGCTGCTCTTTTTTGTTCGTTTGTTTCCACATAATAAATCACCACACCTCAGGAGAAGAAAGCTGTTCAGATATATTATTTGTTTGATATTATGAAACTAAGGAAAGTTGCTTCTATGTCTTACTGTATCTTTTGCCTGGAATATAAATGCTAAAGGGGTTATCAACCAGTATTTCCCACAAACTTAAAATACAGTTTCTATCTTAAGCATAAAAATCTCTGAAGAGACTGCTTGGCCTGCTTATATTGGTTATTTTTTGCTATAATACTACCACAATGAACTCTAACTTAGTAGATAAATAACCCTGCTATGACAAAACATAGGCAACTGCTACCATTAAAATTTGGCATATCTCAACCACAGCTTCAAAAGATATTTATGGAAGTGCTGCATACAGGGAACTCAGGGATGATTTCTAAATACAAAGAAGTTTCCAGCAGTTTTTAAAACAAACATGGGTTAGGATACAGCAAAAGCATAAAGTAGCGAAAGTTGTGTGGATGATCCTTCCTCCTCTCTCCAATTTACAGATGAACAGAGTGGAAACCAGAGAAGTTAAGGGACTTGCCCAAGTCAGCAGCAACTGAAACCAGGACCAGAAGCTGTAAATCTGGTTATAATAGTACAATTGCCCAATAACACTCCTTCCTGCAATGTGTATATTGCGATTGCTTAATCCCTCCTACTCAACTTCAAACACGTATTGATAGAAGCAAATAAGAAAAACTAAAAAAGTCTGTGGAGCATTCTCTTAGGTAATATATATAAAGCAACTCTCCCTCCCACAGGCCCTTTCTGCTTTCGCAGATTGTTTTTGAGTGACACCTACAACGTGCTTGCTGTGTTTTAGGCATTACTCATTACTGTTTATTTCCAGAAAGCATCTCACTAATTTATCTGAATTTGGTTTCAAGTCACTTGTTGTCTGTGTGTAGGCAATCTCCTAAATTAGTCGCTTTTCAGTTCAATTTCTCATTATAACATGTAAGTGACCTATTTATTTAGATACAGACCAATTCCATGGTAGTGTGCCTACTAAGTTATGAAGCATTTTGGTGTGAACTGAACTTGTTGTGACCTCAAAAGTAATTTTTTATTTCAGTAAACCACCCCTAGAATAAGATGCTAAATGATGAAAGTTATTATTGTTTTTCTCAGCAAAATCATGCAAGAGGTCAGCTGTAATTACACTGATGTGTTTAAATAACGCCGCTTAAGGCAGAAAGTCATGCCAGCTCTCCTGATGCCCAATTCTTATTTATTCTCTCAATACATGGCACAAATCTGCAAAGCTTTTATTTGTGCTTCTTCTTTTTTCCTGTTTAGCACCTTCAAAAGTACGTCGCTGTTTAGCAGTACCATTGCTACTTGAAATTACTTCAGACATAACAGTTTAAGAAGTAAAATAAGAATTTTGGAAAAGGAAGAAAAAGAACTTGGTGTTTGGTGATGAGATCTGCTAAGAGTTCTGTAAATAAGTAACCATCCAAACAAAAAAAATTGTATTTTAAATCCTTCTATACTTTTGTATTGTAATAAAACCATAGACAGCAGTATGTACACATACAGAAAAAGTCTCAAATAATTTAATTTTTGGAACATATAAAAACTAGTTTCATTACACTTGCAAAAAAAAAATCAACAAACAAAACCCAGTACCACAAATCCAGCAAAGAAAGCGTGCATCTACAAGATGCACAAATATACCCACCAACGATGTTAAACCTTCATTGTCAACAACCCAGTCTTCCTTTTCAGTCAACCTCTTTATATCTGCAAGACAGAGCAAGAAAGCAAGGGGGATGGGGTTAGGGGGAAGGGAGAAGGTATTGATTTTCATTATTAAAAACTCCTTGAACTTGAAAGATAAACCACAGACATTGGGACTGCAATGACTAGGCAGACAAGCAGCTAGCACTAAAAGCTTCAAAGCTTTCAGCATTCTTAAATGACTAAGAGTGGAACTCGTACTTGGTATGCTGGGGACACCACACAGAGAAGCATATCTGTGATCCATGGCAAGGGTAGCATGAAGCACATCTTTTTCTGGAAAGTTTAATTTTAAAGGAAAACTGGGAACCTTTTGGGTTTGTTTTTATTTTGTAAATTTTTAATCACAACAGAAAATACTGCATTTAAGAGCCCAAGTCTCTAGTCTACTACATTCCAGCTGTTAATTAAAAATGAAAGAACAACTGCCTAGCTTTATAGCAAAGACAGAAAGGACAGCATATAATTCATATTTAATAACTATAAAAGGGGCCTAGTGTCCCCACTCAGGGTCAAGGATCTATGGTGCTAGATTTATTCAAAAATACATGCAGGCATATGCAAAAAGCACTCTCTTCTGCTACCCAGGAGGTGCCAACTTCCACAGGCGTACTGAAGCTAACAGGATCTACGTCAGGATGTGAATCCAAAGCTGTAAAGAAAATTCCTGTACAGATGCACGCATTCTGCATCATCCTTTTTGGGGGGGGGCTTAATTGACTTGAAAACAGAACAAAGATGATCCATATGCAGTTTGTGGGGGCTTTGACATACAGTTTTTCACACACAAATTGCTCATCAGACCTGACTGCCATTAAGAAACTTCTTTCTAACTGAGAATAAATTTCAGTGGATTACCACCTCTCCTGAAAATCCAAGAAAAGAAGGTAACTAACGCATGCTGAAAGGTATCTTTGCTATCTGGGTCCTTTAATTAGCTAAATTAAAAAGCTTGGTTATGGTGTCATTCTGTATGTCCTGGAAGTATAGGCTTAGTAGGGATAAAAAGTATTAAGGGATTGTGCACAGTAATGACTCTGTTCACTATTTAATAAACTTCTTAATTCCACCAGTATTCTTGCAAGGCTTTAGATTGCACTGATCAACCTTTACATGTTTTTGTGGCTGCTCGCTTTTGTGTTCTGTTCCGAGATAACATAAATAGAAAAGGCACTAATTTCTTTCTCGTATTTTGCTGCTCACCAAATTCCAGTCACACACATTCATGTAAACCCCATCTCATCTGGCATTCACATAATTTGGCTTTGATGACCTTTATGACCACTGATCATGTATGACAGGGAAAGAACACAGATTGCTTCTCACGGCCAGCATGAGTACATGATGTTTATAGTAAGACAAGAAAACCCTGTGTGTGGGCAGATTTGTCCTATTTAAATAGCTAATGGTAGAGTGCTCTATTAAAAATTTTAACTGATCTGAATGCCTTTATCAACTTACAAGACAGAGCAAGAGATGAGACTGAACTTTACATCAGCAGTTTATGCAGCTCCTATTTCAGAGATTACAGAGGTGAGGTTCAAGTCTAAAAGGAACCTTCTTCACCTGCATATTACAAATATAAATACACTGGAGGTACATTTATAGTTATTACACTGGTTCCCTAGAAATAACAGTTTCTCCAAGGGCCCAATTAACCTGCTCCTATCCATAAAAACTATCTAAACACATTCACAGGCAATTTTGCTTTAGCTGGTAAGGAACAAAAAAGAGGGCCTCATAGTTAAGGCAAACAGTGCAACAACATGGAACAAGAGGCATCATACGAGCAGGCACGTTTTCACTTTTCCTGTTTGATGCTACAGTCAATACGTAGAACCCCTTCAGTGATAAGGGATGGAAGCTGCAAGGAAGACTGTGCAGCAGGAGGAAAAACTAATGATACTGCCTCACACTCAGTGAAATCTGAAACAGTAGTAATTCATTCCATACAGAGTTTTAAAGTGACAAATTATGTACTCGGTATGGCCAACTAGCTTGATATTAAAGCAAACAAAAAAAAAAAGCTAATGTAGAAATTGGATTTAATGAAAGAATTAAAAGCCAAGAATACAATTCATATCAACATTGTATCAAGTAAACCATAGAGGTCTGATGATTTGTTGACATCAAATGTTTAAAAATTTGCTTAATACAGTCACCTGTGCTTAGCACACTTAAGGCTTTAGTAAAACAGCTTAATGTCAGCCTACAAACAATGAATCATATGTTAAAGATTAAAATGGATTAAATCATGCAAAAGACATATTTTTTTTTTTTAAGTTGAGGGTAATTATTCTTTTGAAAAGAAACCCAAACCAAACTACTAAGTGAATGAGTAGATCAGTCTGCCCTGATTTTAAGAGAGGCATTTATTCCTGGAAGGTTGACTTCATTCACATTTAAGTTTCAGAGTTGAATACAAGGCGGTAAGACGAATGGCCTCTGATACACACAGATTCACACGAGATTCAGAGAGCGTGTTAATGGCCTCGACGATCCGGACATGTATTGCAAAAGTTGTGCAGCAGGAGGTCTAGGGTTCTAATGTTAGAAAAAGACCTTGGAAAACACACAACTAAAATACTTCATAAAGTGCTGTGAATTTTTTTTTTTTTTTTGAGGGAGGACATTGCTTATTTAATTCTTCACTTTACTGAAGAATGCAGAAAATAAACAATATTTCTAATAGGGAAAAGCTGCATCATAAGATAAATCACTTGCATTGTAAAACCCTGCAGAAACAGATCTAAACTACTGTTTTCATTAGAATACGGGATGAAAAGACTCATAGCACACATTTCTGTCAGAAAAGTGAAATATTTGAGTAACTCCGGTGAGATATTCTAGAACTTGGAGGAATCCACTGTCACTACAATACCTGGAACAAGCAGGGTTATCTTCCGGAACATGGTTTGGCTTTAATCAGAGGCAAAAAAAATACGAGAGTAAGCCAAGAGATGTGCATCCTTCTGTTACCTTCAGCTGTGTGTTGTAAGGTCACTATGATGCAACGTACACGAAGGTCCAAAATAAGATCCTGGATGATCTGTAGCATATCATTGGGTATCTCAAGTGCAGTAAGAGACTCAGAACTAAGTCTGGAAAGCAAACAAAGTTAGATTGAAATCTAAATCTGCATGGTTTGTTAAACTCATATAACTTCATTGATTTTTTTAGATGTTTTCAGTGTTACGTGAATGCAGTAGCTCCATCCAGAGTGTATCTTTGAAAACTGATTATCACATTCAAAGAAGATTAATTATCTACTTAATTCAGAAGCTTCCAAATAAAGATTAATTTTTCTGTAACATTACAATAAATATCATGACAGCAACAGGTCAACTTTTCCTGCTAGCCTGCTGCACTTCCACACCTGCTTCTCTGCATCCACCTTTTGGTTTATGATCACACTTTTGGAGCTGAAGTAGCTTTTTTGCTGTTTTTATGTGAAAGGCTAGATCAAATCCTCGGTCCACAACAGGTTTTTGAGATACTGTCTACCTGCATTACAACAGTTACAACTATCAAGCTGCCATAAATGCATTTGGCCTCACTGAAACTCATGTGATTGGCCTTGGCCCGGTGATCCAGCCTATCCAGATCCCACTGCAGAGCCTCCCTACCCTCAGGCAGATTGACGCTTCCACCCAGCTTTGTGTTGTCTGCAAACTTACTGAGGGTGCACTCTATCCCCTTGTCCAAATCATTGATAAAAACGTTAAACATCAGTGGCCCCAGTACTAAGCCCTGGGGGACATCACTCCTGACTGGTCGCCAACTGGATTTAACTCCGTTGACCATGACTCTTGGGACTTGGCCATTTAACCAGTTTTTCACCCAGCAAAGCATAAGCCCATCCAAGCCAAGAGCAGTCAATTTCTCTAGGAGAATGCTGGGGGCAGCAGTGTCGAATGTCTTCCTAAAGTCAAGGTGGATAAAGTAAGGTTCATTGCACAAAGTAAGGTTCACTGCTTTTAATCAAATCTTGGATATTTAAGCAAGGACAATTCAAAGGCAGTCACTGCCATTTGCCCTGCCGCTAATAATGAGCAAAGCACGGGTCCTAGAAGAGTAGGAAGGTACAAACAAACAAGCTTGAGTAATAAGCAGAACATTTCCATTCATCCACTTGTAGACTCCAGTTCCTTATCTTTGGTGTTGGGCATAAACTGTGAATTCCACCATTAACTAGACTGCTGTCTGCTCAGCACAACTACTGAACTAGTAGAGTACATAAATCTGTGCTATCTCAGCCATCCAAGAAACATAGAACGTAAAGACCCTTCTGTGAGAAGTTCAAGTGACTTTACACTGCAGAGAAGTCACGTACCTAGCAATTATTCCATTTCTAAGGAAGCACACCGGTGTAACATCTGTAAGATAATCTTTTTCCTTATATACCTCAGCCTAACAAATACAAACCTTTCTATCCTACAATAAGGCAAAAGTCTTGCCAAAAATGGGTTCTCTTTATCATATAGCTCAAACTGATCCTTCGGAACCTATTCATACTGGGAAATGACAGGATGGGGTACAAGACAAAGATGTGCAAACTCCCCACTTTAAGCTGTGCGATACATAGAAACAAGAAGAAAAATAAAGATATTGCAGATATAACAGCTTGTTATCTAATTTTGCAAATTTTAGCATTCTTAAATAAAAGCAGAAAACAGTAAATGATTTGTAAGATGACTAAAGAGAAAAAAATTCTAACTTGTGCTTCATAATGACTATGTTAGAAACCATAAGACTTAAGCTGTGGCATAACTTTGTAACAAAAAAGGTTTTTATGCCATGTTTAGACACTTCATGGGACAAGCCTACCTTCATTGTTGGTGTACATCACAAGAATTTATTA